CCAAGATCTGTAGGATGAGTCAGCAAGCCGGAAACCCAGGAGAGCTGATAGAGTGGTTGTAGGCTTGAAACCCAAGAAGAGTGGATTTTTTAGTTGGAGTTAAATGCCAGGAAAAGCCATGCCCCTGTTCAAAGGCAGCCAGGCAGGGGGAGTTCTCTCTTGCTCATGGGAAGGTCAGCCTTTCTGTTCTATTCATATTTCTAACTGATGGGATAATCCCCACCTACATTAGGGAGGGCAATCTGCTTTATGAGGTCTACCAATTTAAATGTTAAGTCTTTTCTTTTTTTTAAGATTTTATTTATTCATTTGACAGAGAGAGACATAGTGAGAAATGGAACAAAAGCAGGGGGAGTGTGAGAGGGAGAAGCAGGCTTCCCTCAGAGCAGGGAGCCCGACGTGGGGCTCAATCCCAGGACTCTGGGATCATGACCTGAGCCGAAGGCAGATGCTTAAGACTGAGCCACCCAGGCGCCCCGATTTAAATGTTAGTCTTATCCAAAAACACACTGGGGAGGGTAAGTACTACGGTGAGCGCTGTGAATTGTGTAAGACTGATGAATCACAGACCTGTACCCCTGAAACAAACAATACATTATATGTTAATAAAAAAATTAAATAAATAAAAACACCCTCACAGAAACATGCAGAATAATGTTTAATCAAATATCTAGGTACCCTGTGGCCCTGACAAGCTGACATATAAAATTAACTATCCTAAACTGATAAATATTTAAATCCACCAAATGAAGGTAACAAGAGAAGCCAATAAAACCTTAGTGAGAATGAGCTAGCCTTTCTTCCTCTCTGACCACAGCTGAGCTAGAGTCAGGGTTAACCGTGAGGAGAAAAATACAGCAGTCAAATAGCCTACATCATGAGTGAGTTTTTGGTTAAATGGCAAGAGTAAGCACGCTTATCCCCAAATGGGCCCCTTGCCCTCACAGTGCTTAGGGGATATATCAAGTTTTTTGAACTCCTACTTCAATCCATGTCATTGTCATTCCATGAGGGAAGACATCTGGTTGGCCTTTGGGGTCACCTGATTTTAAAGTTCGTTTCAAATCTAAGGCAGAGACAGAAATTGCCTCTTGGCAATCTTTCCAGGGCTCACACTTGTGGCTGTCTAAACAGCCCTGACCACATCTGGATAGTTTTCGTATTAGAGAAACTCTGAATTTAATAAAAAGTTAAAAACAGGCAGCCTGAATTGCTTATACTTGGTTGGACAACTGCTTCCAAACTCATCTTAATTTCATGAAAAAACAAATACCTATCCGTCCCAAATCCCATGTAAGACAACTGTGCTCTACCCTTGTTCCTTTTCTACTTACTAGCATTTAAAGTATCTTGCTAAAGAAGGTAGAAGGGGGCAGAAGCTTTGCCGCTCTTGCGGAGTGTTAGTGGGGAGGAAAGGAAAACAGGAGTGCTATCTCATCTTTTCAGTAAATGGTTTGGCCCTGAGGTCAAGCTCCCTCGTATCCATGGGACCAGCTAAACTCCATCTGAAGCTGAGAAAAAAGTTATTACCATTTAAGATTAGATGAACACAGAATTTAAACTGTAGCCTTAGACTTGCTAGGGAATGCCCAGTCATGTAGAGGTTGGTGTACATGGGATATTGTTCAGAGTAATGCCCAAGAGAAGCATGCAATGAGTTTAAAGAGGCCCCATACAAGAAAATGCAGGATAAATCACATTATGGGATGAGGAGAAAGCTAAAAAGAAGAGGGACCGGTATGTGTCCATATAAAAGCAAGGAGCACCTGACTTTAGAACCATATATATCTTCACTGCCCAAGATTCGAGGACCATGTCAGGTTTGACTGTGATGAGCAGCCACATCTGGTTTAATAAATTCAGGCAAATTATACAACCTTCTTGAACGTGTGTACCTTTGCCTCCTATGGAATTTAGAATTCAATACTTTAACTCCTTGATGGCCATATCAGAGGAAGTCCTAGAAAAGCGGAAGGTTTTCTTTTTATAGCTAGTGACTGAGTGAAGGATAGGACATAATTTGCAAAAGCTAGCTCACGTCAGAGATCCTCATGAGCAAAGATGGTGGTATTCCCAGTATATCATGTTTCCCAGAATTTGTAAGAAAACATCTTAATCTCCTGGCAGAGTATTCTGGGTAAAATGACAGAGTCATTTGTATGTCACATTTATTTAATGCACAAGCATGCTAACTTTATGAAGACAGGAATTTCTGATTTGCCCATCTAGAACAGTCTCTACCACATAGGTACCAACAATTTTTTTAACTTTTATTATTATTATTTTTTTACAGTATAACCTTACAAAGGTCTTGCCAGGACCCTAAGTCCTTGGGATTTCTCTCTCAGTGTATCTCTGTTACCTATCCCTCCCCGTATATACATACATGGATACGTGTGTATGCAACCGTCTACACATACACTCGCATATACATATTTGTGATACATGTATATCTATATATTTACCAAATCATTTGTATTTTAGAAATAATATTTATATTATACTTACTTTAAACATCTAGCACTTAGGTTACACACACATTATTGCTGTGTATCCACCAAATGCTGAAGCTTTAGACTCAAAGCATTAATGATAATATGCTGTATCTTAAATACTGTTTATGCTTTGCACAGCTACACTTGCATACAATATTGTTAACTCTTAATAAAGCGAGTTTTCAGCTTAATGATAAGAGTCTCTTTGTTTAGGAACTTTAATTAGAAATTTGGTTGGTGAGACAATTCTGTGGAGGGTGTACTTTAGGAAAATGGGAAGAAATTACTGGACAAAACTCAAATTACAGCCTTACATCCTGAGCAACAAATTCTACGGGAAATCCTTGCTCACATTTTACAACAGAACTGCCCAGAGAAGTCTTGCCATAACACAGGTTCACATTTACAGACATCAGTTACTAATGCAATACACCCCTTGGGAGGATCAGAGCAGCTCTTCCTAGGGTTTGATATCGTATCTTTCCATTTTCAACCAGAGAGCTCTGGGGCCCAATCCTGCAAGTGAAACATAGCATATGCTCAAAAATGAGTGTTCAGTCTTTAAAAGACAAGTTTACCACCCTTGGAGATTTGGTTTTTATTTATTTATTTATTTATTTATTTATTTATTTATTTATTTGAGAGAGAGAGAGAGAGAAAATGAGAGAGAGTGAGAGAGAGAGAGAGAGAGAAATAGCATGAGAGGGGAGGGTCAGAGGGAGAAGCAGATTCCCTGCCAAGCAGACAGCTCAATGCGGGACTCGATGCCGGAACTCCAGGATCATGACCAGAGCCAAAGGCAGTCGCCCAACCAACTGAGCCACCCAGGCGCCCCCACCCTTAGATTTAAGAGAAAATATTACCCTGACAATTTAGAAAATTCAGAGAGAATTAAAGAAGAGGATTTAAAATCACTCTTTGTTACACTTGTCCTAAATGTTTTAAAGGCATTCTTGTGGAACCACTCAGGTTTTCTATTATAAAACCTTTTTTTTTTTAATAATGAGGACACTGGGAATCCTAGACTTTTTCTCTAGACAAGTCCTGTAGACATGAGACCCTTGCTGTGCTTCTGCTAATTTGCTAAAAAGGTGAAGATTTTTAGGATTTCAACATTTTAAAAAGAAGCAGAAGGAGTGATTCTATCTTAGAAATGAAGAAAAGAATTACCAGACAGGTAAGTCACAGCTACTGGATTGTACAGAATCCTAACTCAGGTGCCCTAAATCTGAGATGAGCTTTTTGTCCATTTGTTTTGTTTGTCTTCCCCAATTTGTGTACCAGTTTTCATCACAGCTGAGTATTTTCTGTCACTCGGAAAGCCCAGAGGCCTGGCCAGTCAACACTTTGGGTGTGAGAATGGATGTAGAGAGGTGGGCCAATGGCAAAGAAGTCAAGTTGGGGGCCAGATTATGACATTTGGACAAAACTGCACAGCTGCAGTTGTAACAGATTATTTTAACTGATACTCTCAGGAAAAAGTAAAGCACAGAACTAGCCATTTGCCCTGTATTTGCCTCTTCCTCAGAGCCTGTAAGTCTCATCCCGGAAAGACTGATTCAAACTATAAAGACATTCATGAACGCAAAGTTTCAAAGAACAGCAGTGTTCCCTAGGGGAAGAAGACCACACTCTTCCCCTAAACCAGCAGAGAAGCATTCTGTGAGCCCCATCTGTGCCAACCCCACAACACGGCAGACTCCCTTAATATTGTGGAGCAACTCCCTTCATTCCATTCAGCGAAGATGAAGGTGTACAATGTTCTAGTCACTTCAAAGTGCGGGAGGCGAGGGTGGTATTGGCTGGTGGAGGGTTACCATGACTATCCTCCCATATCCCCCTACATGTCCATGTGCACACAAAAACACATAGGTGATCAGCTTTTCAGACATTAGAATTAGATAGACTTTTAAAAACTAGTACCAACTTATTAAAATTTTCTTTAATATTCAGAAAGTACTTTGGGGATTTTTACAATTTTAAGATCATCTATTCTCGGTGTAAAGGAACATAGAAAAATCTTCACAGAAAATTAATCTGAAGTAGAATGACAACTCTGTGTGTGTGGTTTGTGTGTATGTATGCATGTGTGTGTGTGTGTGTGTGTGGCACAGACTCCAGGAGCTTCCCTTAAAATATTCTCTTATTTCAGTATGTTGGCTGTTTTATTTCCTGTGACTGTCCCTGTCCCTTGCCCCCTTCTGGACTGTTTTGGAAAGAAAGAAGACATGTCTTAAGACTGAAGCTTTCTGTTTGCTTGGATTTTGAATAAATGGAAATTTGTTAGAATATCTTAAATACTGTTAGAAGCAACTGGTCACTTAAGAGCCTAGCTTCTCAGATGCTGTCAGTGGCCTTCTGCATCGGTGGGTACAAGAACACATATTTCCACTTTACAGATGAGGAAACTAGGGACCAGACTGGAATGCTCTGGGGTTCCCTGCCTCATTGGAGACAGAACCCAGGTCTTGGGCTCTTATTGGCCACAGCAAAATAAGTACTCACGTCATGATTTGGGTCTCCACTCCTGCCTCCACCAGAGCCCCGTCAACAAAGAGAGGAACCGAAGTGAAGCCATACTTGTCCCAGGAATGGCCCTCATCAAAACTCACCCTGGGTTAGAAACAAGTACAGGAAAGAGACAGCTGAAAACCAAACCACACTCCTTTGCAACCATTTTTCAGGTTATTAAATTCTCCTCTGTATCTCACTTTCTGGCAGTTCGAATTATCAATAGACATTCATCTTCAACATCTCCCCATATTATTACGAGATTTGATCAAAACTGCATTTCCTGGCCCAGGCAGAGACAGCACCAGAACTGCAGAAATATTTCAACATATTAGAATCAAAAACAACAACAACAAAAAACAACCCAAGAAGTAAGGCTTAGTGGATGGAGTGTCACGTTTCAAGTACTCCGAATGGAACCCGAGGCTCAATTTACAGCACAATCAATCCGGTCTGTGGAGTTTCTGACACAGATAAATTGAGTAGTGCGGGGTGTACCCTATGGGAGGGGAGGTGTGTGTCTTTCAGATCAAACTTTAAAAGAAGCCATTTCCTATTTGTTCAGAATGAATGTTAGGATCGTTTTCCCTCCCCAGTGCCACTTTCAGGAGCTTTTAGAGATGAGTGCTGAGTGTCTAAGATGAACTGGGCAATACTGTGCCATCTTTCGTCCAATAGTAAGAAAAGGTCCGGCCCTTTGTGGTTATAGCACCTGAAACTCTTTAAAGGGAAGGTTACTAGTGGAGGAGACTGGGGCAATTTTGAGTGCTTGCTTCTTTCCCTTTCTTGATATTATCAAGTACCTGACCCTCCTTCTTCCCCAAGGCAGCTTTATTTGCTTCATTCCCTGTGATCCTTCTTGGCTAAATTAATTCTTAATTTCTTCTCTGACTCCATAACTCAGGATTCTCTGAGTTCAACTGAAGGAAATCTGTAGGCTTCTCCTCTTATAATGCTGAGTGATGACTTCTTAATGGACTCTAAATCCACCAATTCAAAACTATAATCTTGGGAGTTCACTGGTCATGTATGTCTCGTTTGTTGAATGACTCCTTAACACCACCCATACATCTTTATTATAATGTTTCTTACCTGATATTTAATAAATATAGGTCTGATTTTTCCACTGAACCGTGAGTTTTTTGAGGTCAAAGACCATACTATTCATTTTTGCATTCCTAGTACCTAGCAGAAAAATGGACATCTAGTTGGCACTATTTAATGTTAAATGAATAAATTAACAAAAGAAATAAAGAATGATTTACCACACTCTTCCAATCCATCCATTTTTTTTGAAGCATGCTTTATGCTGGCATCCATGAACTGGATGCAGGAGTCCCTCTGCCCATTACTAGTCAACCTACTCAGTCCATTCTCTACATATTTACTTCTTTGTCTCTCTCACCCTCTCTGGCTCTTTCTCTTTGTCTTATACTTTCTTAACATTTTTTTTTTTTAATTTGTGGTATACCTAAGTCTATCTTCACAAAAAAAGGAAAGCAGACAGTCTGACATTAAGTTTTTATGAGTTCACAAATTATCAGTGTCTGTCTTAACTTTTTAAAAACAATTTTATTGAGTTATTTTTGACATGTAAAAATTGTATGTATTTACAGTGTACAACTTGATATTTTGATATATGTATACATTGTGAAAAGATTGCCACAATCAAGCTGGTCTTGATCAAACAGGGGTGGCAGGGTGGGGGCAGGAGGGAGAAATGAAGACACGTTGGTCAAAGGGTTCAAAGTTGCAGTTATGCAAGAGGAATGAATCCCGGGGATCTAATGTACATGATGACAGTTAACAATATTGTCTTGACTTTTAAGAACTTGGTCATTTCACACTTTTTTTTTTTTAATAGGATGAAGGTTACATAACCATCAAGTTGACCCAGAGAATGTTGGGCAGATCTGAACGGCTTTTCTTGAAAATGAGTTTCTTATTTCAAAATGGAAAACAACTGAGAATGGACTTCACCTGTCTTAACATGGACCTGCTTGGTTCTTAAAATAATCATAGTTGTTTTCGAGTATGCTGTGGCCACTAACTATTTAACTAGGAGAGAAGTCTAGGAGATAAGAAATCATTTGTTTGGTTTTCTGTTTGGGCGACTAGGATAAACTGATTATTGTATTGATAGGAAGAAGCCAAAGTGAGCTGATGGCCTCTGTCCTTCTCAGAATTTCCTGACCACTGAAGGTCATTATTAACACTAGCACAGTAAATAGCAGTGGGTGCTACCAGCATCCCAGGGAAGGAGGAGGCTTCATGCCACTGCCATTGAGAACAAGGCAGAAGACAGTCATTGTTACTATGTACAATATGAAGACAAAATACCACAGAATAGACAAGGAGGGGCCATCACAGCCTTCTAGCTCTGCGATGGAGGTGTCAAGGAAAAGCCAAGCCCAAGTTGGAAAGAAAAAGTGGGAGATAAGAAGCCTGATGTATGAACTGATTTCATATAGAAGGGGAAGAAGCATGAGTTAGAAGGAAGAATGAGATCAGAAGAAAAACTAAGAAATGCCAAAACCCAGGTGGGAAAGCTAGCACATACAATAACTGAAGTCCAAGGAAGCCATTATAAGCCATGCTTATAAGCATAAGGAAGGGGACAGCTCTACAGAACCAGGGCGAGGAATAGATCCCGCAGTTTTCATTTATGGTCAACGTCCCACTTGGAAGCTCAGGACTGTGCCATGCAGGTGACTTTATGAGATTAGTAATTTCTAATACCTGAATATTGTGAGCTGAGGTAATTATTAAAAACCAAACAAAATAAAACTCTCTAAACAAAGTCCCAAAAATATGACATGAGAAAATTTAATCTCTTAGGTATCAGAAATTTGGGTCTGGATGGCCTGTCATTTGTGAGAGCTAGTCTTTTTTGATTGCTAGGAGTTTTCTTTAATGCTCTGAAGTAACAATAGTGAATGGTTTCCCCAAGGGATGCACCTTCTTTCCCCCACTCAGTTCAGTAGCTCCTTCATGGCCAAGACAAAGGAATTGGGAATTCTTTATTAGGTCCACAGCTGAAAGTGAAATTGGTAGGACTGTCACTACTCAGAGAGATAGATGTAAATAAAGTTCCAACAGACCTCCAAGTAGTGGCAAGACAGGACTATAAGATCAAAATAAAATAAATTTCCTTGGTCAAATATTTATTGACACCTCTTATGTGCCTGGTCTGGCAGTGGCCTCTGTTCAAAGGATCTAGTGGTGAACAGGAAAGGGAAGGCCCTAGCTTAAGTAGAACTTACATTCTAACTTGAGGAGACAAACTATATTCAGACAAATGGGTTGAAAAATATGAGTTGTAAAAAAAAATCTGAGTTATAAATACTTGTCATGAAGACAGTTAAAACAGAGTGATGTGATAGAGGGTGACTGCATAGCAACTTTGTATTGAAAATCTAAGAAAGTCCTCTTTTAAGAGGTGACATTTAAACTATGCAAAGACCCAGGCGAGAGCCATTTCCAACAGAGGGCAGATCTATTGTGAAAGGAAGGTGCTGTGTGGGAAGGACAGAAAGACAGTCAGTGGCCTTAGGTTAGTGGGGAAATAGATTAGTAGAAGGAAATGGAATAAAAAATAAGGCCAGGAAGACCATGAAGGACCTTATTTCCAGCTGAAATGAGAGAAACAGGATTTGATTTAAACCTTAAAACATAATTTTCATTTCTTTATAGTGAATGGATTGTCAGGACTCAACATGGATACAAGGAGATGAACTAGGGGAAAGAGTAACAATTGTTAAGAGACCATGTAAGAAAAGTGGTCTGGATAAATGTTACAGTAGTCTAGAAAGAAAGAGATGGAAAGGATATTTTTAGAGGTGAAGTCAATAGGATTTGGTGATAGAATGTATACAGGTTGCTTGAGCAAAAGAAAGAAATCAGGGACAACACAGATTTTTAAGGTTAAGCAGTTGAGATCGGGAAATGGGAAGAACAGGAGAAGCAAAGCTTTCTGCTTGTTTCTGTTTGGTCCACTTCAAGGTTTAGATGCTTTTTGGACTTCCATGTTGTGATGTACTGTCAAGGAGACCTTTGGATGGATGGATCCAAATTTCCAGGAAGTAATCAAAGTTGCGAATATAGATCTGGAAGTCACTTTTAAGGTAGGACTAACTTAAAGCAGAATGTTTAATAAGAAAGAAAAAAAAAGCCCCACAGCCAGAGAAAGGAAAACAGTAACTAATGATAAGCTCAAACTGAAAACAACTAGGGTCACTGTCAATCATAAGTGTGTTCTAAAAATGACACTATTGTGAGAGGTGATGAAGCCACTCTGAGTCTAGTATGTGTTCACAGATAGATAACATGAATAATAGAAGAAATTATCCTACTAAATCCTAAATACTAGGTTTAGTTACAATCCTTGTAGAGAAACTGACAATCAATGTGATTAAAGTTAAAAAACAGGTTGTTCTAGAAACAGGTTATATGAATTGAAGATAGCTTAGGGAAAAGAAGAATAGAGCTGAATTCATTACCATTGCCTTTTAATTTTTTTTAGTAAGAAAGCTGTAGTTAAACAAATGAAAACAAACCTATTTGTTGACTACTGAAAAGGGGAAATGTCTGAAAGAAATCAGTCATTGGATGCGTAAAAATATTAATTAAAAATACAGATAAAATAAAGGAGAAAATATTTCCATTCTCATAACTGTTCCAAAGAGAACAGTCAAATATTTTTGCACAAGAATTTAAGCTCCCAAGTATTTTGTCTTGTTCACTTTTACAACCCAGCCTTTAAACGAATGCTGGATAGATAGTATATGCTCAATGAATGTGTGAGGAATGAATGCATAAATGCATAAAATCTGTTCTGAGTTGCATCTCTGATCATTTTCCAGAACTTAGAAAGGTTAGACAAAGAAATCTCTTGAGGTCCTTTCTAGCTCTATGATTCCAAATATCATGTGCAATTCTGGATCAGACTTATTCAGCATAGCTCTGGGCAGCAGAATAGATACTAATGGACATTAATTATAAGTAGATTCACTATTGCTCAGCATAAAAACAATCTTTTAACAGCGAAAGCCATTATACAAGATGGGAACTCTGTCTTGGGTATATGTGAGTTGTTCAGCTCT